AGCTGGAAGGAAAGCTCATTGAGCTGTGGGCTGCAGAACGGAAAGCGAGCAATGGGACGATGAAAAAGCGGTCGGTGAAGGAGAAGGAGATTGCCGTGAAGTTGAATTTATTCGGCCGCGAGCTGTATGGCGATAAATTTCAGAATGAGATCACAGTGCCGATTGGTCACAACAAGCTGGACAACCTACGTACCAAGGCCAGGGAGCAGTACAAGAAATATCGCCGCCACACCGCTACCGGCTCTGGTGCTCCAAGCGAAGATTCCGGCCGTGTAGATCTGAAAGCTGCTTGCAGAGCTTGGGGTAATTTCATGATCTGGCACTCACTATTCAAATTGGTGCCGGGATATGGCCCCATCATGAGTCTTAACTCCGCTGCCCTGCCCACTGAAACTGCCGTGGAGACCCTACAGCGACCAGCTCCTCTTCGTTTTGGAGTGGCCAGCCCTTCAAGTCCACTTGAAAACCCATCCAGTGCAGTGTAGTGCGCCACTAACCCCTGTGATACCATCACCATCACCACACACCGTCAACATGCACCATGCCACACGGACAAAGCAATGAAGATATGTCATGTGACAGGTAAAAGGTGCATTCGCCTTTATTTTGAAGTCCGTATGACTTTGCCACGTAGATGTCAGCAACAAAAATCGGGACCCCCGTGCATGTACTCTGTTCAAGCCCATGCATGCTGCTGCATATTGCGTTGGAACCTACTCCCTGCCATGCCGCGCTGGGCCGTGTGAGGGCTCCACTAGCTTGGCGGGCCAGCGCATCTGGGGAGCTGTACTGTAGCGATTGGGTTGTTGTGGGCGTTCTTCAGTGACAAACTGTACATGACTTGAACTCGTACTTGAGGTGCGTAGATCTACAGTACATGTACAACAGAAAAACCGTCCTGTCTTCCGCAGCCCGAGACCTTTCTCTTTGTCCGGTTCATTGAGGAAAGCTGAGCGTGGAGTACTATCTTCCTCAAGACACTCAGGAGGCGCAGTGTAGAGTTCACTATTGGTAGTAGATCTACTAGTACTTGATTATTTGCTTGCAAGTACGTATCTAGTCTGTAGCGCGTTGTGTGGCGAGTACAGTGTTCGAATGAATTGACAACGACCAGGCCTGAAAATAAGTGCGCACCTCATGTTTTAGATACATGTACGTAGCTTTGCTCGACTCTCTCTGTGAAGAGGTCACAGGAATTGAGAGGAGACTGGCGGGCGCTACATACTGTTTGCTCTCGAAGTTGTAGCCATGGACAGTGGCGTGCACCGAGTCTTGAAAGGGGGGTTTCTAGAGTTGGTAAATTGTTTCTGGAGACCCCACTGTATAATTATGTATTCGTGCACATGCGCATCCCCCGAACATCCTGTCGGAGATAACGGCGAGGGCTAGGGAGGGGGAGGGAACTCAAGATCAGGGGTGCAGGGCACCAATGAACACTGGTGCTGATGAGATGCGGGGCTCGTCCGACTGCTATCATCAGATCATGCCGGCACAAACGCGTCAGAGAGGGAACCAGGTACACCGGGGGTAGAAAGGACAGAAATATGAGGAATGGAGGGAGGGGGCAATGTTTCATGGAAATGTTGGTGTAACCGGTAACAGGATTAAACGGGTTACCTTTTACATACCAGCACTTCAAAAAGCATTTGCAAAGAGGGTGCAAAAGTCAATGATTATGTACTCGTATACAATCACATGTTTGTCATATTGAACACGTAAAAGTTTGATAGGCCTAGCCGCCCAGGCTACACTACACTCAGTGTAGACTACAGTCTATAAGACTAGTATAACACTATGTCTATGGTACTTCACCAGTCCACTCTAGGCATGTTTGTTTCATCAAAAAACTGCTTACATTCGACGGATCTTTCTTTCTGTTCTAATGACGAAGTTTTCAGCATGTATTGGCAATGTTCAACATGATTTCAATAAAGAGTTATGGGCCTTGCTTCGATGGAAGCTCGCGGAAGAAAAGCAGAGCCCCGCATCCTTGAGTCGCGGCCGGAGCAGCGCTTCGTTCTGAAGCAGCGCAAGTGGATCATGGACGCACATTTTTACGTCTTTCAGTCGACAACGTTTCAGTCGACAACGTTTTTGACGAACATCTCTGCTGCGCACATGAGCGAGAACGAAAGGCTGTGGAGATCTTGATTTGAGTCAACAGTTTGGAAGGAGATATCGTCAATCATATACATGAACTGACTTGCATCGCGCGTGCTTGACTCAAATTTCGAGACAGAGCGGATTTCTTGAACGTCATCGCCAATCCACTAGCGAACCAGAGCTAGAGATCGATCTCTCTGTCGCTACTCTCCACTGAAGAAAGAGAGAATAATGCATTTTGAACTACATGCAAAGCAACTCTCTCTCACCTCGAAATAAGGACATAGTCACTGTACTGTAAACTGCCCGTCGTTATGCAGGATAACCAATCCAGTAGGCGCGCTTTTCCTTCGGCAAGATTGCCCGAAAAAAGGTGGTTTCCAGACACCAAAAAACTCATACGGTGCACGCGCCTGATGGACATCGGCCGCGCTCTGCATCATGTCGGTATGGGACTCAAGAGCGCACTCCGTGTGGAGATGTGGCACGGAAAATTGGCTGTCCTGACGTACTGGATTGTTATGCTTCTTTTCCAAGCTTACTCCCCACCCGAGAACAGTGCAATGCTTATTCAGAAGCACTGCCATGACTGTGTGTCTCCTACTTTATGCGAACCCATCAACAGTACTCAGGATCGATATGGCCGCGTGGTTCAAACTCTTTGTCTCTGCGTTACCAATATCAGTACAATTCCTATACATGTTCAGGAGCGGGAGGTTGAATACGGCCGCGTACCCCCAGCTTGGTACCTCGTCATCCTTTTCCTGGGATTAACTGTGGTAAAGTTCTTGACGCACCACCCAGCTGCAGTGCCATGCGCGTTGGCAAATGCCTGGAAAAGAATACGAATCGGACAAGATGCCACTGTCACAGACAATTACGTAAGAGCTGGTAATGAGTGGAACGGACTCTGGATAGCTGATGAAATGTCAATCGCGGTCAGTTCACTTATATGCCTTTTGGCTACTCTTGTGGACCCACCACAGTATTCGAAATGGGAGGTGTTCATCTTAAATGACCAATCCTTCTGGTTTGGCTTGTTGCTACTTTTGCGGATAGTGATTACTTCAGGTCAATGGCTTTTTAACGCTGAGTCGATCGAAAGTGTTGGTTGTCATCAAGTTGATAGAGGAGGCGAAGCTAAGGACGCCCGTTGGGCTATAACTAGGTTGTCGCCACATAAACTAGGATGCGGTCTGTGGATAGAGGCTAGCGTCGCGGCACTTCCGGATACAGCCATTCTACTTGGAATCTGGATCTCCACATGGAAACAATATCCCGGACAACTGAGAGAGTATATATTCTTTTTCCTTGTGAACGAAGGTATGCACTCTAAGAAGTGGAGGATAAATATGATGGTTGACCCTGAGTCATACATTGCTGCTTGCATGGTTTTTGAGGTGATACATTCCAGAGGTCTTGGACGTTTTGTCACCATGACCATCCGCACAAGAGTATTCCCTTTTGTCAAGGGTCAGGTGAAAAAGGCATCACTCTTCGCACGGGAATTGCACTGGTGTATCAAACGTGGTGCATTTGGTGGTGGTGGTGAAGATGATGATGATGATGCTATCGGGAACTACTTAGCCCAAGCTGACACAATTCGTCGCCGAACTACAACAAGCTTCATTATCCATGGCGTGCAGGAGACGGATAGTGAAAGCAGTGGAGCCAAATCGTCTGACGGGATCGTCATGCATCTGCTCAGAAACATCCTTTCGCATCGGCTGGCACCAGGGGACATCATAGGCACACTACGTTTGGGTAAATCCGTCGGACCGACGGCGAGGAATACCTCCTTATCAAGGCCGATTCTGGTACAAACCAGAACACCTGAAATCTGCCAGAAGGCGCTCAATCTACGCAAATGTATTCAATACAAGACTTTCTCATTCCTTCTGAACATGCAAATCTCGGAGTACTTCAGCAAAGAGGAACGGGAGATACAGCAGCGACTTCGCCATCGATTTGAAACATTTCGGCGTCAGGGCTTGATTTGCCACATGCGATCGACCTACATCGAACTCCCCATGCGTATGATCGGCACGAGGCTGCACGTGTACATGCCCGAAACGGTCGCAAAAGGAAACTGCTTATCGTTCACAAAGACCTTGCCAGACTCTTCAAAGAGCTCAGATCCCGCCAAAGACGAGCATAGTCTGAGTGAACCGGTCGGGCCCATGGAGAGGTATTTGCAAAGGACCGACAGGGAGCGGAGACGAACGGCAACCACCCTGGTTATTCACGGAATGAGGGAAGACAAGGCTGAAGTCGGCGTTGGGATTAGTTCGTGTACAGGAATGATATACTGCTATGCAAAGGTCGTGCGTCTGCTGAGCGGTCTCCTCGACCGGCCACTAACGCCTGGTTGCGTCACAGGAACTATGCGACTTGGCAACCCCAGAAGCAACACAACCAAACCCAGACCCATACTTGTGCAAACAGCCACAGCAGACATCTGCAAGAAGCTACTCAGTCTGCGGCCCAGTGCACTAAACAGGGCATCAGGCAGCGGGGAGAACGTCTTCATCTCCGAGTACTTCACCAGGGAAGAGCGCGCCGTTCAGCGACAACTCCGTCCAGCCTTCGTGGCCCTTCGCACACTGGGCAAGCAGTGTTATATGCGCTCTGCTTACATCGAGGTAGCTGAAACTGCTGATCAGCGCCAAGCCATTCTGTATCATCCGGACACAGCGTGGAAGTTCGTCGAGTCTACACGTCTCCCCGGGATTGACAGCCATCCACTGGTACAGGCCGTCACCCTTCAGCACGAATCCCGGTCGTCTGCACAGTGCGAAGAGCAGACAGCTCGACGCCGTCACCCTCCCTCTCCTACCGTGGCGAGTCGTGCCTGAAGAATGCACTGCCACTCAGCGATAGTGGAAACAATGGTTTAGTTCGGGATGATAGCAGCTGAGTGTACATAAATTTACCGTCCAGGCTTATACAAGCATGTACTTGATTACTTGATTTATACTAGTATAACAGGCTCAATCTTCCACCAGCATGTACGGATATACATATAGGTTCCGCCTCATTTTCTCTGTGCTGCGCTGATGAGTTCACAACGGACGAAACAGTTCTGTACGCAGGTTGAGTATTGCTATTAGATAGCTAAGGCAGTCAGAGCATTCTGACGTTGCGTTCAGGACAAGAGCAGCTGAGATACTACGTGGAACACACGCTTCCTGCCGAGCTTGACACTTGACTTGACTTTGAACTATGGTGTCAGAACACTACTATTTCTGTTTAGCCTATAACACGAACCGGTATCACGTAGTTTGATTTACATCTCAGAAGAGATGTTAGATTTTTTAAACTGTACATACATATACATTCCACTCAACAAGCTATCAATATTCACTGGTTTGCTTTCACTACTTATCCACTTTACAGGTAGTGCTGTACATTATAATTACATCCTCTGGAGAGTGGGGATCGAGTGGGAAGAGTAAATTTGCAATTTTGAACCCATTCATTTTGTATGGCCATGTCCGCAACTTTTTCATACTTTTTACTCAATTTTTCTTAGCTTTCAGTAAATGAAATATGTTCAGAAAAGCTTGATGCTTCCGACAAGCAATGTAGACTCGTCGCTTGGGTCACAGGTAGTTCCTTATCACATGGTTCCAGCTCAAGTCTATCCTTGCACATACATGTATGGGTCACAATTAGGGTCATAATATTATTATGATGTGGGTCGTATTGGGTCCAATGTCCGGGCACATGCCATGAATGGCATGGTCGCCTTGCACACAAATAAGTTCGGCCTGCAAGACGAGGGTTTAAAGCCTCTCTATCTGTTCCAATGTTGCTTCAAGACGCGAACCGAGCGGTTCTTCTACATGTACCATATTGTTATGCTTATACTTCAAAGAAGTTTGACAGCATATTACGAGGTGGTGGAGTACTGTGTTCGGAAACAGTGTCCCTTAATACAACCATCATTGCCATGTGACCATTTTGGTATTAGCATGTACTTCAAATAAACAACATTAAACAATGAGAACACTTTTGCATGTGTACGCCCCAGAAGTTTTATAATTAATAAATAGAAACATATTGTTGAATTGTGTGTTGCTCCGTACGTGGGCGCTTGCGCAACATATTGTTGAACCGACATATTGTTGAACCAAGCCAAAGGGTGCTCCGAAGACCTGTAGACTGGTTATGGTATGGCCAGTGGTTTCAAGAGTCCGTGCGAAGACTGTGGCCGAGTGACAGGCAGGGTTCGAGACCCGGATTGCTCCATGTCTGATGCCAGTGATGAGGTTTATGTGTGAGGTACACATCAGGGAGCTCAACTGGTGAATTGGAACTCATGGTTCGGTAGAGTTAACCGTGCGTTGAACGCGGTGAACCATGGCAGCATGCTCGATCGAGTGGCCGCTCTCCGTGCCTCCCGTGAAATGGATGAAGTTATTGTTCTCCTATACGGCAGCCGTGGTGAAGATTGCTGGAACTCTCAGCGTGCCCCTCTCGACGATTGTAACGTTATGAGTGGTGCAGGGATAGCGGATGTCTCTTGAAATCGGCATCTTGTACGTAGAATATGCGATGAGGCTGGTAAGAGCGGCCAGCACCTCCCCTTCAGAACTAGCTTCACACTATTCTCATGGTCCAGAGGAAGTAACATTCATGACATTTCGAGACCGCTGCAACTCAAACGTGAGCCAATTGTTTTACCCGGGGTACTGGCGTTCATTTAGACTGTTTTACAAGTACAGTCAACTTTGCGAATAACGACATTCGGCAGGGCATCGGAAAAATGTCCTTATTCGCGAAGTGTCCTTATACCCGAAGTCCCATTTGAATGTATGTAAACTCATATTTTTGTATAGTGTGACACACATATCAAAATGAAGCTCTTTTCATGCTCTATGCCAACGTGTACCCCATTTTCATATTATTACAATTGAAAGGAACTATAAAGTCGATATGGAAGGGAAATAGATTGGAAAATTAGCCTTTCGCAACTTTTGGAGCCATCTACATGTACATGTACATGACATGTATGATGATAACTGTACAATCATGTATACCTACAATTACAGGACATTGTAGCTGTGCTGATCACTCCAACATGTATTAGAAGCAAAAAATAAAAAAGCCTCCCCCTGGCTGCATCTTCTTGCATTGTGCCTTTATCCATCGCCATGCATGGCATGGGTTCTGGTACTTCTGCGTAACAGGTACACTGTAGTGATCAAATCCGATTGTAACATAGCAATTGTGAATTTTTTTTCAAATGTTGCCAAAGTGTTACCTTTCTCTTGTGCACGCACTACACAAGTCCACCCTACAAGGACTCATGAAACCAATAAATCGATCGTCGGCGATAATGGTTAACTATTATAAAGGGTTATGGAAGGATCATTTCCACACTTGGAAATAATC